CTGGGTATTTACCCCAAAGACACAGATGTAGTGAAAAGAAGGGCCATATGCACCCCAATGTTCATAGCAGCAATGTCCGCAACAGCCGAACTGTGGAAAGAGCTGAGATGCCCTTCAACAGATGAATGGATAAAGAAGATGTGGTCCATATATACAATGGAGTATTACTCGGCCATCAGAAAGGATGAATACCCAGCTTTTACATCAACATGGATGGGACTGAAGGAGATTATGCTAAGTGAAATAAGTCAAGCAGAGAAAGTCAATTATCATATGGTTTCACTTATTTGTGGAACATAAGAAATAGCATGGAGGACACTAGGAGAAGGAAGGGAAAAATGAGCGGGGGCGGAATTGGAGGGAGAGATGAACCACGAGAGACTACGAACTCTGAAAAACAAACAGGGCTGTAGAAGGGAGGGAGGTGGGGAGGACTGGTTAGCCCGGTGATGGGTATTAAGGAGGGCACGTACTGCATGGAGCACTGGGTGTTATACGAAAACAATGGATCGTGGATCACCACATCAAAAACTAATGATGTATTGTATGGTGACTAACATGACAAAATAAAATTAAAAAAAAAAAGTATATTGAAAAAAAAATTCAGAGAAATTAGGTTACAATAGAATGAGTTTAAAAATAGCATTTCTTAAAAATTGGCACTTGGGCTTTCCAGTGTAGGTAACAAGTTTTATATTTCTGACCACTGAAGAGGTCAGGAGAAGAGGAGGGAGAAGATTTATATTTCTGACCACTGAAGAGGTCAGGAGAAGAGGAGGGAGAAGAACCATATGGTCCTCTCAATTAATCAAACATTAATTTGAAATGTTGAACTAATGATATAGTGACTGTGACGAATACATAAACATACCTTAACAATCTCGCCTCCATCCACTTCCATTAACTTCTTTAAGTTGTGTTTAATGTTCTGGGAGTTCGAACGCCAATTTAACAGTCCCAACAGGTCAACTAGGAAGAACGACCACAAACCATAAAATTAGACGCTGATTGAAAGAAGTAATGCACACTACTTCAGGATACAACTATAGAACTCTCTAGAAAAGATAATTGCTCTTAATAGTGGCTAATTCCTATGTTTTTTTTTTTTTTAATTTACTGTCTCCTATCTAAACCAGAAAAAACCTTGTGGTCTTTCAGTCTTCAGAGAAAAAAATTAACCACTAATATATGAGAACATAAAACTGAATTCCTGAATGGAATTCATATTTCTGAAGTAATGACATCATAGACATATAGATGAAAAGCTGGAAGCACTTTTTTTTTTT